GTTTACTTACATCAGCTTTGTTAAAAATAAATTTAATATCTTCCTTACTCATGTCTTAAGTTCTATCTGTGAAATCGTCAATTATAAATGAGAGGTGTATTTTTCTAATGCATTTACATCTTCAAATAGAATGTTGATATATCAACTAAAGTCATCACAGGACTTCAGTACTCTAAGTTCTTGTTATGGAGAAATCTGTGACTGTCCAATATTTATTTTCTAATTCAACAATAGTTAAATAATCCAAATATACCCTCAAAACCTATTTTTATATATGTGTATGTATGTAGGTGCATGTTGTATTGTTGTTATGTTGTGTCACTGAGTCACCTGAGACTAATAGCGACCCTATGTACAATAGCTCTGAACTCAGCTCTATCATCAGTCTCACTGTCTCCAACATACCTATCCTTATTTCTTTAATTACTTTGTTAATCCATCTCATCTTGTGTCTTCCTCTCCTCTGCTGTCCCTTCACCCTTCCAAGCATGATATCCTTCTCCCAGGACTGGTCCTTCCTCACCATGTGCCCAAAGTATGCATGACAAAGCTTCAGAACCCTTGCCTCCAAGAAGTAGCCTGGTTTCACCCTCTCCAGGTTAAACCTGTTTATTCTCTTGGCAACCCACAGTATGTTCAATACTCTAGAACCACAAGTCAAAGGCATAAACTCTGGTGCCAATCCTAGTGAATGTCTAGCTCTCTGATTCATAGCAAGTAACTGCAAAGACGTTGGCCTAAATAAGGGGCACCTTTGTCTCCAGACAAACATTGTTGCTCTGTAGAAGAGGTCCCTGACAGCATATTTCTCTAGTGCAATTTCTCTTTTAAGATCTTGACTGCTGGTGACTATAGTTTTAACTGTGGAGGTGAGCAGGCTGAAATTGTTAATAACCTCAAACTCTTATCTATCATGGTGCTTCCAATTGGCCCAGTGGTGAGAATCTTTGTCTTCTTAATATTGAGCTTCAATCCACATAGAAGATTGCAGTCCTTAACCTTCTGCAGCAAGTGCTTTAGGTCTTCCTCAGATTCAGTGAGCAAGACTGTGTATCTGCATAATGTCAGGTTGTTGATGAGTCTCCCTCCAATCTTGATGCCACATTCCTCCTCATAAAATCCAACCTCCTGAATATGTATACCATTATGAGGAGTACCACAAAGTAGCACATCTAGGGCAGCATCTGTTCGTTGAAGTATATCAATTGGTATACCGTCAGTTCCTGGGGCTTTGGTTTTTGCCAATTCTTTCAGAGCAGCTTGAACTTCTTCCTTCATCACCACAGGCTTTTACTCATACATTGTTTTCATGAAATTCTTCTGTGTCCATCAATTCCTTTTGTTATAATGACTCCGTAGACTCTTTCCATCACTTTTAATACTTCATGGATCATTTAATATTCTACCCAAAGCATCCATAAGTATTGCAACTCGAGGTTTGAATTTGTTTTTCAGTTCCTTGAGCTCAAGAAACACTGAGCTAATTTGGCTCTTTGATTTTTACTCCAGCTTTTTGCACATTTCATTATAATACCTTACTTTGTCTTCCCACGATGTCCTTTGAAATCTTCTGCCCAGCTCCTTAATATCATGATTTCTTCCCTTTGCTTTGGCTTCTTGGCACTCTAGTACAATACTCAAGGATTTCCTCTGATACCCATTTTGGTCTTTTCTTCCAAGCCAAAGGTGGGTGATTTTAATCTGTGGCCCTCAGGCCTGTTTTTGTTTTTGGTCAAACATTCTTCTAAGCAGTATAGGACTAGTCTGTCCATTTGCTGTGCAGAGGTAACTCGTGGTTGCTCCGATGCCAAACACTGTGACACTGATGTGTCAAATGCGAGAATGGTTATCCATGGTGAACAGTGTTTGAAGGAGCTCCCCGATAAAACAAGCATGGAAGCAAGAGTGGCACACACTTCTGAAATAGTTTGCCTCTGGAAACCCTATAAACTTGGAGAAATGATGAAATTTATGCAAATGTTCAGGTCTTTGTTCATAGGGTCGCTATGAGTTGTCTACAACTCTACTGCACTTAACAACAACAACAACAACAACAACAACTGTCTCTGTAATGATCTTTTGCATTCTTCCTGGATGATATTCTTGATATCCTCCCAAAACTCATCTGCTCTTCACTCATTAGTGTTCAAGGCTTTAAACCTGTTCCTGAGATGGTTTTTAAATTCAGGTGGGATAGAATCAAGGTAATATTTTGGTTCCTATGGATTTGATTTCATTTTCCTTAGCCTCCGTTTGAACTTAGTAGTTGATGTTCTGTTCCACAATCAGCTCCTGGCCTAGTTTTCACAGCTGATATTGAGCTTCTCCAGCGGTTCTTTCCACAGATGTAATCGATCTGATTCCTATAAACATCAACAGGTGAAATCCATGTGTATAGCTTGTGTTTATGTTTTTTATAAAATGTATTTGCAGATGCTGCCCTAGAAGCACTCACCAAGTTGTGCCAAGAAATCTGGAGGACAACCACTTGGCTGACTGACTGGAAGAGATTGCTATTTGTTCCCATTTCAAAGAAAGGTGATCCAATAGAGCGTGGATATTATCAAACAATATCATTAATACCACATGCAAAAAAGATTCTGCTGAAGATTACCCAAAAAGGACTGGAAGAGCACATCAGCAGAGAACTGTCAGAAGTGCAGGCTGGGTTTAGAAGAGGCTGTGATACTAGGGATATTGTAGTTAAGGTTAGATGGATCTTGGCTGAAAGCAGGCAGTACCAGAGGAATGTCTGTCTGTGCTTCCTTGACTATGCAAAGGTTTGACTGTGTGGTCCACAATAAATTGTGGCTAAATCTGAAAAGAATAGGAATCACAGAACACTTGATCGTGCTTATGCGAAGCCTATACTTGGACCAGGAGGCAGTTGTCAAAACAGAGCAAGGAAGGGTGTACGCCAGGGATGTGTCCTATATCCATACCTTTTCAATCTATATGAAGGACAGATTATTTGGGAGGCTGGGCTCCATGAGGAAAAATGTGGCATCAGGATTGGAGGAAGACTCATCAACAATCTGCGTTATACTGATGATACAATCCTGCTTGCAGAAACAGAGGAGGACCTGAAGTCCTTGCTGCAGAAGGTGAAGGACTGCAGCTTTCAATATGGATTGAAGCTCATTATCAAGGAAACAAAGATTTTCACCACTGGCAGCATCATGATGGATGGTGAGGGGATAGAGAATGTAAACATTTTTTCGTTTGCTTGGCTCCACAATCAACTCTCTTGGCACCAGAAGCCAGGAAAAGAAAAGACATATTGTATTGCAGAAGTCTGCTGTCAGAGACCTTGCCAAAGTACTGAAGAGCAATGGTGTTACTGTGGAGACTAAGGTGCACCTGATGCAAGCCATGGTCTTTGCAATCACTTGTTATGCATCAGAGGGTTGGACAATGACTAGGGATGATAGGAGAATTGATGCCTTTGAGCTGTGGTGCTGGAGAAGAGTATTGAATATACCATGGATTGCTCAGTGAACAAACAGGTTCATCCTGGAGAAGTTTAAACCAAGCTGCTCCTTGGAGGCAAGGATTCTAAAGCTTTGTACATTGCATTGAAACAAATGAGGGAAAGAATTGTTTAAAAGCAATATACAATTGGGTATTATGGTCATGACAAGAGTCCAGAACAAAGGCTGCACAGTATACCAATGAAAGAATTTTTCTTTTACTTTTCAAAGAGAAGAGTGAATTGGGGGTGGAGGGCTGGGGAGGGAGAAAAATGCAACAATGAATGAATAGAAATCCAAAGTCTCTGTAAACATTAAAATTAATAATAATAAAATAAAACCAATTTTTTTTTAAAAAAAGGGCTTCCCAGGTTAACCCAATCATTTCAGAAGTATCATCTAATCATTTCAGTTAAATGGCTTATTTCGGGTCACTCAGCAAACTGCCAAAGAACCAGAGACTCTATACTCAGAATCTAGATTCCCCATCTAGTGCTTATCTCAGCAAAATCATGTGTGGAACATGCTAACACAGGAACACGAGTGAGGCTGGTGGATTTAAGACAGTAGAGCCTTCACCCGTCCTTGAACATGAAGAGGCTTGAGTTATCAATAACTCCTTGGGGAGAGGATGGTTGCAAGCCACATTTAAAGAAGTCCTATGAGTCAATGGAAATAAATTATGAATAAAGGTGAAGTCATTATTTCGGAAAGTATGATGTAAGGAATAAGAGCACATCTCTACATCAAGATTTCACAAATCAAAAAATGCTTTGAACAGATTAGGAGACCTTCTTAACTAATAATAATAATAATAGAAATAATAGCAGCATTAGTAATAATAGTTGTTTGTGGTTGTATACCATAAAGTCTTAACTGACCCATAGCTGACCCTCTCATGAGTTTTCAGAGGCAGTTAATTGCATGGAAGGAGACTGCCCATCCTTCTCTTGTGGAGCAGGTAGTGGCCTTGAACTGCATGCCTTCAGAATTGGAGGACATCTTCTTGCCACTAGACCACCAGAGCTCCAGTGTAATAGTGTAATAGTAGTAGTAGTAGTAACATCATTTATTGTATATGCTAGCCATTAGAATTAGCAATTCAAATGTACTGATATTTCTGTGATGCAAATGGCATCATTCCCATTTTATAGATTAGGGAATGGAGTCTGAGCCTATGAGATGAGTGGCCAGCTGTCCTGTGTGCCCTTGAAGTTCATACCCTAGGAAACCCCTCAGTCTTGGGCAGACCAGGCTACTTAGTCACTCAGTTACTGGCACTGAGAAACTGTCTAGCCATGGCTGTCTTTTACAGGATAACTTTCCTCTAGGTTGTAGTCTAGAGTTTCACATAGGGGTTTAAAGAAGGGTGTGACTGATCTCTCACATAACAAGAAGTCTTCATCTCTGTTCACACACACACACACACACACACACACACACACACACACACACACAGAGAGAGAGAGAGAATAAACTGTGTAACATCAAACAGCCATTCCTGCAGAAAGGTAAAGAAGGTATACTTACCTTGACCTCAAACTCGAAGTGTTCATCCTTTCCTTGTCCACAGAGAACGTAGCGTGGAATACTAATTTTAATCGGGTCCTTCAGGTCATACGGATTTGCTCCCAAAGAGCGAGACACCATCCGCTATCAAAGGCACAGCAGATAGAGAGAACAAAGAGAAACCAGATTACTCCAGTGAAAATACTTGGTGTGGGTAGAAAGGAGAAAACATGTTTCAAGGAGAGAAAAGAGCATCAAACTTACAGAGTATTTAGAAAAATGATGGTTTCCTTTGAAAGAAAAATTCTAAGTCTCTCATAACAAAAGACTATTCTTCAGGTTTACCATTCCAAGAAGCTAGGGCAGAGCACTTAGAAATGGAGTTTGGCTTTGAAGTTCCTTCCAATTTATAAGAACAAGTGAAAAAAGGAACAGATTATGTACACTGACTGTAAAAAAAAAATCATCAGTGTAAACAAGACTTCTTTTTGAAAAGTCTGGACTATCTGACAAACTTCTTTTATTCTTCACAGACTATAAAGCCTCCTGTATATAAAACTGTAAAAGCTGGAGATTTTATTCAAATTCACTTTATTTTTCATCTCTAGTCACTTCTAGTAACCAGTGTCGTATGGAAAACTTTTTACATCATAATTAAAACAAACCCCAAGTATTTTATTTATATGTCATTGGTTTAAAAATCAACTTGGTCTGACAAATATTTATTATCTGAATGGTAGAAAGCCAGAACGGTTTGTAGAAGAAACTTTGGAGGAGGAGGAAGAAATCTTCTAAATCAATGTTCTTGAATATGAACATGAGGTAATAATCTACATAATTTTTTCTTTTTAAAATTTGCGTTAACCTGGTTTTAGGAGAAGCAGATTTGATAGGTAGTCATTTTGTGGTTGCTGCTAGGTCTTACCAAGTTACTACGACTCCTATTTATCCTATGAACAAAAAACCTGAACCTTGCCCTATCCTGTGCCAACATCATGATCTTTGATATACATTGTTACAATCACTGTGTCAATTCAACTTGCTCAGTCTTTCTATCTTTTGCTGGCTCTGTAACTTTCTTAGAGAGACAGCATGCTAGAAGACAACATAATTATTATACTTAGCACATATTAAATACTTACTAGAGATGGACCTGGTTATATGTTGTAATATATTTGAAACTCTCAAATCCCCTGTGGGCTAATATTACGTGCCAATGAGTCAGAACCAACTCATAGCTGACCCTCCAGCAAGTTTTCAGAGCCTATTAACTCACATAGGAGGAGAGTGCCTATCCTTTTTCCTCAGAATAGCTAGAAGATTTGAACTGTATGCCTTTGGGTTGACAGTACCACTCCTTATCACCAGGCCATCTGAGCTCAGTCTCCCTCTAAGTTATTAACAATTATTAAGCCTATTTATCAGATGACAGGCAAGACTATGAGTTTAGGCAACATAACTGAGGCAAGCAGGTGGTGGCAGCGTTAGGTGTTGGAGAGTCAGAACTGACCCATGTCTGACCATCCAGGGGGTTTTCAGAGGCTGGACACAGCAAAGGAGAAGACTGCTCATATTTGTCCTGCAGAGCAGCTGGGTTGGCAGCACAACTTCCAAAGCCACCAGGATCTGGATGCAGGCTAATCTAAAATTTGCTTTGACCTCTAAATTACAAAATTCCAGTTACATCTGTGACAAATCAAACGAACATATACAGAACATAAGGAGAGGGAATCTCATGATTTCTATGATTAGGCAATAAAACTCCCTCAGTTGTCTGAAAAGAGTGACACTGAATTCTCTTTCAGCCAGACAGAAAAGGTCATGGACCCTTGAATCCTTTACCGGGGATGAGGTGTGGGGGGGAGGGGGTGTGTGTGTGAGGGGGAGAGAGACGGAGAGAGACAGACAGAGAGAGAGAGCGAGACAGAGACAGACAGAGAGTGAGTGAGAGTGTGCACACTAAGATATCTAGATGACATAAAAGCACATGTTTTGTGTGAGATTACTGTTTTAATTCTAGCTTTGGCAACATATCAAGGTACCAATCTTTTAAAATACTTTAATCCCCTCACATCACGTGGCTTATCATCCAAGACAAGATCTAAAAATTGCTTATTGCAAAGGTGCAATTATTCCACTGTTTAAGTAATTTTTTAAAACCATACTTCTGGGTGCTTTTGAGGCAGCTTTGATTCACACTGATCATACTTATTACAACTACAGAATGAAACCCTATCAGATGCTGTGCCATCTCCACAATTTCTACTGTGCAGAAGCTCGTTGTGGCAATCACTGTGATGACTGAAATTTTTGAGGGTCTTCCTCTTTTTCACTGACCTACTTTTCCAAGCACGAAGTATTTTCTCAAGGACTGACATCCTACCATCACCACAATGTCCAGTGTATGTGCGATGAAGCCTTGCCATCTTGGTGTGAACACTGGCAGCACATGTTGTTGTTGACTGCCTTTGAGTGGTAACAAAAATCACAGAGGAAATTCTTAAAATTAGGGCTTTTTACTGTTCTTGTTTCTTGTTATGTGCCATTGAATCACCTGCAACTCATAGCAACCCTATGTGCAGATTAGCTCTGAATCCTGCCCTATTCTGAGCCAATCTCATCATCTCTGACAGACCTAATCCAATAGCTCCAGTCACTGAGTCAATCCATCTCATCCTGGGTCTTCCTCTCCTGCACTCTCCCTCCACCTTTCCAAGCATGATGTTCCTCTCCAAGGACTGGTCCCTCTTGATCATGAGTCCAAAGTATGTGAGACTGAGCTTCAAAGTCCTCGCCTCCAGGAGGCAGCTTGGTTTCATCCTCTCCAGGATAGATCTGTTTGTTCTCTTGGCAGTCCACGGTATGTCTTCTCCAGCACCACAAGTCAAAGGCATCAATTCTCCTTTTAGCACCTTTAGTAACTGTCCAGCTCTCTGTGAAGACCATAGCCTGGATCAGGTGCACCTTAGTCTCTAAACTGCCATCATTGAATTTTGTTCACATTTTTCTCCCACTTTGTCCAAGATCCTCCACTGTTTCTCTTTGGAGTGGTCAGTAGTGGCATCCAGGCACCAGGCAGCTTTTCTGCTCTCTTAGGAAGTGAAAGTTGAAGGTTGTGTAGTCTATTAGTCCTTTGAATTGACAGGGATGATTTAAAAGAGGTTTCTTTCATTATCACCAAGTGGATTATTTAGACTCATTCTTTATAAAGGAAGTTTTTATAAAAGAGTGACTCTTCAGCAGGAGACTGAATAGCAATAATTTGGAAATAGTGTTACATAAAAAGATGAAAGACTGAAGAATATTACTAGAGCTAAAGAAAAACAAAATCAGGAGTAAAGAAAAGATGATAAATGCCTCTTCTGTAGGGATGCAATATGTGGGTTTAGATGTCCTCAGGGCCATGGACAAAGCAGGGAGCTCTGGTGGCTTAGTGGTAGGAATCTCAAAGGCAAATGGTTTGAATTCACCAGCTGCTCAGCAAGAAAAGAATGAGCAATTTCCTCTCATGTGATTAACTGCCTCTGAAAACCTTCCAGAGGGTCAGATACAGGTTGGTTCCAACTGAAAAGCACACAACAACAACAACAACATTGGCTAATAACGAGCATAGTCTCTAATGCATAAACGGTTTCAAAAGAAGCTGGTGATCAGTCCATAAATGGAAGTTATGTGAGCCAAGACCGAACTGGAAAACTAGTCTTAAACGTGTTCCTTCTAGTACCCAAAGGTTTCTACTAAAGGAAAGTGTCATGAGTTTTATTTCCAGTAGAGTCTTAGGAATCTTGCCATAACATGTCTGTGGTAGACAGAATTACTGATTCCAATGTCTCTCTATTCTAAACTATTCCTGTGGTTATAATGTATAGCTGTGCTTCCTTCCCCTTCATTCCGAACTTGACTGTGTGACTTGTTATTTTACATGATGGAGCAGAGGTGTTCACACCTGGGCTGGTCCTCTGAGTTCTGTCATGACTATGATGGTCACAGCCATTTCAGAATAAACTCTTAACACAAGGCGAGTGGAACTCTCACTCAATACTACTGAATTATAGGCTAAAGAAGAGATGCTTCAACTTACTTGCAAATCATCAGAGAAACAAAAAGATCTTTTCATGTTGGGCATTGTTTGCTATTCAACAAAAGCTTACTGAGAGTCACTACAATAGATATTGGAATAAATATTTTGTTACTAAAGTAACAAAAGGCTAAAAGGGTGTAGTTCCTCTAGTAAGACTGCTTGACCACCAAGGAAAGCTTTAAATCATCTATGGAAAAACAATGAAATAAAAATTACTGAAATGACTATAAACCTCAAGCATTTGCCTCCAAAAATTTGTACAGAAAATGTTTTTTTTTTCCCCAGCAACAAGAAAAAATGAAGACACAAAACGTTTTGAAACATTTTCAACAAAGACTAAGTAAATGTATACTAACACATAAACACAGGCTATAGACATTGATTTCCCCTTATGGAATGCACAGGAATCAGATCTATTACATCTGTTGAAGTGATCACTGGGAAAGTTCAGTATTGGCAATGAAAATTAGACAAGGTGCTAAATGCAGAACAGACCATCAACTAACTACTCAGATGGGAATGTAAATTATAGCTAAAGAAGGTAAAATTAAATGCATAGGAATCAAAATCTTATCTTGAATCTACCCTATCTGAATTTAAAAACCAACTCAGAAACAGATTTGAGGCCTTCAACACTAATGAGTGAAGACCAGATAAGCTGTGGGAGGATATCAAGAATATAATCCGTAAAGAATGAAAAAGGGTCATCACAAAGACGGCAGAAGACCAAAATGGATGTCAGAAGAGACTTTGAATATTGCACTAGAGTGCTGAGAAGCCAAAGAAAAGGGGGGGAAATCAAAAAGTTAAGGAGCTGAATAGAAGATTTCAAAGGTCAGCTCAGGAAGAAAAAGCAAAGTGTTATAATGAAATATGCAAGGTGGTGGTGTTGGAAAATCAAAAGAGCAGAACTCCCTTGCATTTTTAAGCTAAAGGAACTAAAGAACAAATTCAAATTGAGAGTTGAGGATGCTATGGGTGGAATACTGAATGATCCAGGAAGCATTAAAGGAAGATGGAAGGAGTATACAGAGTCATTGTATCAAAAGAATTGGCTAACACA